GATTTTATAACAGAAAAAAGAGGGAATACCGCTTCTTATAATGGTCAAAATTATGCTAATAATTGCAGATGTTCAAAATAGTACCCGTCCACTTTATTTGGTCTACTACAGTGAAATCGTTGACATTAATTTACCACTGAATGCATATACGATAATTTGAGGTGGTCATACACAAAAAACACACAAAAAATTATTCTAACACTCCACTACATGCAAGTATTATTTTAGTTGGAAAGATACATATTTTCCTATATAAAGATTTTAATCTACCTGCATTTAAATCTGAAGCATCACTATATGGTAGAAAAAACATCAAGAGTTTGGATAAGTAGAGAAGATAATATTCTGAATTCAATTAAGTTTTGAATTGCATTTTTTGGGTGTTTTTATTCTTACTTTATGATGATAGGACTGTTAAGATTTGACAGGAAGCAAAGTGGGAGAGGGATCGGGAAAGGTCCTCGAGCCGGGATTCAAATTTGTGACGCCCATAGTGCAACACCACTGTATGTCGGTGCACTGAAGATGAATTAAGATTTTCTTTCCACTGTAATTATTAATTAAATTATTTGTTAATTATGAAACTTTTATTTGTGGACGTAATCTAGAATTTTTAGATAATTTACTATTCTTTATTTTTTTTCTTATTTTTATTAGTATTCTTTTTTTTGGTGGGGGGAGGGGGGTATAGATTTATTTTTAGAAGGAAAAAAAGAGAAAAAATGTAATTTATGTTAAACAGTCTATATAATAATAAATTCAATATAATGATTATATAAGAATATAACATACTCTTAATATAATAATATATTCTCTATGTAAGAATATAATAATAATTTATAATAGTTTACCGTAGTCAGTATGGAGCGCAGCTCCTCAGGTCCCAAAGTCTCATAACTGATGCCAGAGCTGTAGTTATACTGCAAGAGTGAATGAGTGAGAGAGTGAAACAACAATCGCCGTAATACTACAGTAACAAATGCAACAGTGAAAGCAAGAACCTGTGTTATACATATTAAAATAATGAATCATCTCACCTTGTATAGGTCTGGATTGATATTACTGCTGAGCTCTCCTGCAGAGCGACAAGACAAAAAAAGACTCACAACACATTCAAGTGAAACCTGCTGTCTGTCATGCACTGCACTACCTTTAAACAACTCCTGAAAGCTAGATTCAGTCAGAATAAAACCCACCGTTCTTGTGCTTCAGGGATTTGGATCTCCTGGGAGAGTTTGGATTCTAAAACACACAGATTTATTTTTAAATATTATTTTCAATTTATTTTAATTTAGAATATTTGGCTTGCATTTTCAACAAGTTCATATCTGATAACAGTTTTATACCTTTTCTGACTTTCTCTTCTTGGCTGTGAAAATAAGAGATTAACTGTTATCATTAATAAAGTGCAACATTTAGAGACAAATAGTGGTGTAGGAAGTAAGAGGAAAAGAGAGAAACAGACAGACTGGATCAGCTCACCTTTCTTTTCTGAACCATAGGACCAGTCATTGTCATTGATATCATCATTGTCTTCCTGATCGCTTTCTGACTTGCTTGTGTTGTTGCTGCTGGCTATTCTGTAGAAAGAGCAGAACAATCAACGCTTTGAAACGTCACTAGAATTTTCCCTCAGGGATCAATAAAATCTCTCTATCTGGCAGAAAGTGCAATCTTTGGAAAATAATAATTGTTAGAAATGTGCCACCCCCAACAAATTTCCCCACCAGTACATGGCAATAGACTAAAAACACTGAAGTAAAACAACAAAGCTCAGACATTAGGATGAGTAAATCATTTTGGTCAACTGTTGCTTTAAGCATTCACTTCACCGAATAATGAGTTAAATGGTGTGAGCTCACAGTCCGCTGACCTGCGGTTGGCTATTCGGCTGCTGTTGCGGCCCATGCCGAGACACTTCTCCAGATGAGGAGCAAAGCGAGAGGCCGCAATACTCCGGCTGCAGTTGGGACACACACACTCCTTATTCTTCCACTGGTTGTACACCTGCCCAAAGATGTCCACACCAGGCTGGTCCACTATTTCTACATCAGAGGGAACATAAAGTAGAGAAACATTGTAAAAGCATGCAACCCAGGCTTTAGAAAAAATGTATGTGTTTATTTTTATGACCGACTCACCGAAATCCTTCATACTTTCTTGGTCCGTTTCGTCCAGGAAGAAATAGCCCTGTTTGACCGCCCTGTGCACCTCAAAGCACAGCCCTAAACAGGCATCTTCCACTAGGTCAGAGTAAACGTCATGAGCCAAGGCCTACAACAAAGGCAGAGAAATTAAATCATATGTGTTAAACTTATCATCATGCATCTTATTTGTCTATGATACAGGCTAGTTATTGGGCCTGGGATAAAAGAGGCCCACCCATAAAAAAAATTATCCCAGACCATGTGAATTCTAGTGATGAGCATGCATAACACAATTCTTTCGTAAACACAACATTTTCAAGAACAATAAAGCAGATATACCGTATACTGTTCTGTATGTTTCAGAAATTAAACTCATTATCTGCAACCCTTTACCTCAAGCTTGGTGTTATCCAGGCCTGACAGAGACATATCCTCCATTTTCATTTGCAACAACTATTGTAGGAGAGCTCTCATTGTCGACAATGCTGAAAGAGGCGGAAAACACTGAAAAACACAAATACAAACAAAGGCACATTACAGCATAGTCATATGTGATAACATAGTATCATCATCCTACTACCTAAAGATAAAAGTATGCTTTTTTTATATATATAAAAAAAGAGATTCAGCATATCAAAATAATTAGTAAACAACTGAAAACAATTTAAACAGCCATTTGTTCGTATTGTGAACTATGTTATAAACTCAATGTTTGTTCTTAAAACTCAAATGCATTTTCTAGGCTATAAGGTCCATTTTCTAACATGCTTGTGATGTTTACAAATTATTTATCATGTTCAGCAAGCGGATACATAACGGAAATACTGTGAACATGGGCGGGAAAAGCAATTATTCAGCAAAACAGCAGTCAAATAATATAAACGATTTCCAGTAAATATTTAAACTTAATAAAACAGTTGAATACACATATACACACTCATTGTAAGCATAGTTGATTCATTGTAAGCATAGTTGACAGGCACGACTGTGGCACTGCCCTGTCTTCTCAATGATATAACTTTCCACACGGGCGGGTTTGGGAAACATTGTTAAAAAAAAACCCGCAGGAAACCGTGTCACAAAGTAGTAACTGACGCCTCGCGCAGAAAAGCATATTTGTTGCGCTCTTGTTTAAATTGTATCTCTACTTACCCAGACTGAACGGCCCGGGTCTTGTCATTCACGGACCCGCTGCTCTCTTGTTCAACGACCACATACAACAAACATCCTCAAAACGAACGTACATATGAAAATAACGAAAATATTATGTTACAAAAATGATTAGATGCCTGGTTGAATAAGTCGTTTGAGTACAGATGATGCTTGGAAATAAAACAACGCTGCCATTTTGGCTCCGGTTAGACATCACTAGCCTATTACCGATCTTAGGTGACACATCGATTGAGCTGCCTTGAATTCGGTCCAATCTCATATACAGTAAACATAACTACATACACATACACACACACACACTCACATTGAGATATGAATTTACCTACACATATAGGCTACATGTGGCGACGCAGTCACATAAATAAAACAATTACGCAAGTATTTAATTGCTAATTATATTTAAATTACGTACACACAAACACAAACACTGTTTAAGAGAAGGTTTATTTGCTCATATTGTAAATTGCAGGGATATAACATCTCTTGCTATAGAAAACGTCCAAATGTTTCAAATCTGTAGTACAAATTTCAATTTTTTTGCCATTTCTACAAATAAACATGGGAAGGGGTAAAAAAACAACAACTAAAACTCACCTAATTAAAAACATGTCCCCAAATGACAAACAAAATAATTTTGGCTATAGCAGAATATTGCTTAGCCAACTGAAAATACAAACACAATAATGTTCACTCATTACAAAGGAGAAAAAAACTAAGAAAAAGAAAGCTATATGTACAAATACCTTACAACAGCACTGAACCCAACCCAAATCTATTTGAAAGTCTCAAAATCCTATAAAATATCAACAAATCTTAAAAGGTCCACTGGGTGTCTTATCCCGGCCCATCATTTAAATCATCTATAACCAAATTATGTTTTTCAAACTGAAAGAACACAACTTTTTGCATGATACAGGCCTTAATTATTTCGGGTGCCTAGAATAAAGGTCACATGTCTGGTACAGCAAATACAGCATCCAGCTCTGTTTTTACAGCAACCCCCCCACACTCAAAATTATACGCTCGTCTTTATATGCAACTTACCAAGGCTCAAAATTTTAGATAGAGGGGAAGATCACTTACAGTGCCCCTATTAAGTTGAGGGCTGCATAAAAATACTGAGTAAAAGGCGGTAGCTCAGCAGAGGAAGCTGGGTTATGGGCTTAACTAAATTTAGTTGCCATATCAGGCCAGGGCTATGAATGAGAGAATATACCAGTCACCCTCAAAACTGCTCATATATACAAACACATAACAAATAACGGTACCCCTCTCTTAAATAAAACATCTCCATTACATTCCTTGAGCTGGTGCATGAAAGACTTGTGAAGTGGTTGACATTATGGGCTAATGAGTGAAATGAAGAAAGAGGAATATTGAAAAGAAAAACACAGGGCTTGTATGCAAGGGATTCCATCATAAGTGCACTGAATTGTGGGGTAACTCACATCCATCATATTTAAAACATACCGTTTTAAAAAGAAAAAAAACAGTTCTTTGGAGCACCAAATAAAACAGTGGTTGGAAAGAGGAACAGAAAGTCAGCTTCAAACAATACATAACCATTATTAACAAATGGAAGAAAAACATGTTGGTGAAAAAAAAAAAGAAGCATATTTCTGCAAGAACATTACTTGCGTTGCCAAACAATTAACTGATAAACTAGTCCTCTTCGTTATGTAACATCAGTCGGTTTTATTATCTGAATGAACAGTGAACTCAAACCCGTCAGCTGTCATGAAACAGCTACGGGCAGCATTCCTAAAACAGGACAAAAATAAATAGTCCATTTTCACCTTTAACCCCTCATCAGGAGCAGATAAGGGTAGCACACAAACGCCTGCTGAACAAGAACCGCGTGCGAGACCAGTGGGGGCCATGCGGCGACATTCAAAATGGCTTCATTGTTCCTGAAAATACCACAATTTTTTGAACCGAAAAAGCAAAAACAAACACCAAAGCAAAAATGGAGGGAGCAGGAAAAGGAGAGGAACAACGCTATTAGGAAGAACAGGAGAGGTACAGACAGAAGAAAAGAAAGCAAACATTCTTCAGAGTGCAATTATTTGGTCCCCTGTACCTCCCGAAATAATCTGTGAAACTAAGAGAGACTCTTTGGCTCATTTACGGAAAAGAAAATGGCACCTGGTGCTCTCTATGTCCTCTAAAATATAAACACGGGGCGTCCTAATAACGCTTTACGACTACTACAAGCCAATAGTAGAGCACTGCACCCTTTTTTCGGTGTTGGGAGGAATTTAGACCATACATCCTCGTACACGTTGCCTAAAATGCTTTAAAACCTGCCAAGCCAATTCATTGAGGGAGTTACAAATAAAAGCAGAAGTGCAGGGGAGAACAGAACAGAAGAGAAGCACAGGAAAGAGTGTGTGAGAGGTGTGACAGCGGGGTGAGCCCCCTCCTGTGGTGAGAAGAGCGCAGTGCAGAGCAGGCTCAGACCCCCGGCTCATGGCTCAGTTCACAGCATTTCTGGCAGTCTGTGGGCTCAGTCTGAGTCTGAGGCTGATGAATCGTCAGAGCTGGAAGCACTGCTGCTGCTTTCTGATTTATTCTCTTTATCCTCAACCTCTTCGTTCTCCATGTCTTCTTCATTCTGGAAGTGAATTTTGAAAGATTATCTTTCATTATTTTCATTCAAAGTATGACAAGGTTTATCAGTTGTCGTTAAAAATTCCCTATGGAGAAAACGAACAGTATTTTTCTGGAACCCGATTGCTGCTCTCCGTATTTCTAATCAATGACAAAACCAATATTGCAAAATCAAAGGCTGATCCTATATCATATACATGTTAAAAGAGCAATGTGACCAGCATGCTATGAACCTTACATCGTCATCATCGCTGTCGTCATCGGAGGATGATCCGTCTTCAGATTCCTTCTCTTCGTCATCATCGTCATCATCATCATCATCGTCATCCTCTTCCTCTTCCTTTGGACAAGGTCACAATTGATACAGAACAATCAATCAGTAGGCCTACATGCTGCTAAAAATTTACATAGTGACCGATAAATGCAGAGTGATTTAAGACTATGTATGATCAAACTCACCGATTGTTTGGCCTTGGGTTTCGCTTTAGCAGCGGTGCCACCTGGTTTTGCTGTGCTCCTTCGTTTCTGCAGAAATGTTTAAGAAAAAACCTTAAACAGACAGAACTACAGGCAGGGAGCGTTACAGAAGAGCCAAATTTAAATATTTTATTTCTTCTTAAATGATTAAATACTACCATTTTACATACAAAATATAAACATTGATTTGAGAAACATCTTATGGTATATAATTCAAGTCTATTTTGACAAGTTAGACTGCAATACTGAGTAGATCCAAATTTATGACTCACCAGAGAATTATATTCTTTATAAGTAGCTCTCTCTTGTGATGATAAACTCTGTGAAGGGGAAAAAATTGAATATTACCGTTGTAATATTAGATCTTTATAATTAAGCTATTTGTGCTAGTGTTGAATAGGTTAAATAACAGTAAAGATACGTACCGCAAGCCACTGCTCGAGCAGCACTTTGTACTGTCTCTGTTTCTCTTCTGCCAGTCTTTTGTAGCGGTCCTTCTCTTTCTGAGGGAGCCGCTGCCAGCGGCCTCCGATTTCACCCATGCGCTCTTTCATGGGCAGATGATTCAGCTCGCCGTTTGACAGCATTTCCTGAGAGAACTTCTGATAACCGTTCCTGAAGTCACAGGTGAAGAGGGCATGAATGAAAAGAGTGGGAAGGTAAGACAAACAAGCTGCCTCAAACACACCAACAGCTTTTTCCTTGTAGAGGTTTAAGATTTGTAGATAACCATCACACACAGAACAAACTTACGAGGGCGGTTTCTTAGGTTCACCATCAAATTTCATTTTCTTCCCAGGGGTGATGACTGGGGCAGGCGATCGCATCTCACTCAGCTCTCTCTGCACAAGACAGAACAATAAAACGGGTATGAAATCTTGCACACACAAAGTCAGGAACAATAAAATGCAGACAGCAGACATATGATCAGTAACTTTATTCAAGGCAGTTTGACTTTAATGCCACAAAATGTTTGAATATGTCTGAACTCACTTCATATCTCTTCTGGTCCTCTGCAGCCTTCTTGATCCACATGATCTTTTCTTTCTTCTCCATGGTGTTCCAGGTGGCCTCCATGGCTTTTTGAGCTTTCGCTCGATCATTCTGAGAAAGCAAAGAAGAGGGAGAGATCAGGGGATAATCTATTATTTGATAATAAATTATTTTCATATAGTGCTGGGTGGTATAACAGTATATACTGTCATAAAAAAAAGTGTGGTGCGGCTGACACAGACAAGTAGAACAGCATAAAAGCTTTGTTCGTCTCCGACGAACTGTTAAAGTCGTTATTTTTGTTTTCTCTGCGTACAAAAAGTATTCTCGTCGCTTCATAAAATTCAGATTGAACCACTGATGGCAGATGGACTATTTTGACGATGTCTTTCATCCTTTTCTGGGCCTTGAGTGTTATTTACTTGGCAGTCAATGGGACAGTCACAAGCCTCCCGGTTTTCATTCAAAATATCTTAAATTGTGTTCCGAAGACGAACAAAGCTTTTACGGGTTTGGAACAACATGAGGGTAAGTGATTAATGACAAAATTTAAATTTTGGGGTGGAGTAACCCTTTAATAACTGCTCCATGTTGTCCATTCAGTTTTTGAGAGCAGTGACAGAAAATTGACAATAAAGACATTTATAATGTTACAAACGATTTCTATTTCAAATAGATGCTGTTCATATTACGGTTTTAACTGTATTTGTGACCAAATAAATGCTACTCTGGTGAGAAAAAGAAACTTCTAGTCAAAAACCCAACCCCGACCCAAGCGCTTTCCACTGAATTTTTTTGCCATTATGATTCCATACCTTGAATCGGGCAAGATAGTCTCCAATGACGCTTTGTTGCCAGATATCCTGAGCTGTTTTGGGCGTTTCTGGTAGTTTCCCTTTGTCCTCTTTGCTCTGTTTTTCAGACTCTGCCTTCAGCGTCATCTCCAGGTTTTTATACTTTTCCTACAAGAAAGATTACAGAAGTTGAATACAATTGAATTGGCTAACACAGTAACAGAAGGATCTGAACATCTCTGGGTCACTGAAGTGTCATGATTACCTTCTTCTTGTCAGAAAGCTCATTCCACATGCGGGCCAGTAGTCTTGTGAGCTCCATGTCAGAAAGATCAGGCTTTTCCTGTTGAAGTTTTGGGCGCTTCTCCTCAGAGAAAATAAACATAGCAGAGACAGGAGGCTTGGGCTTCTCTGTACTGGACTGTTGGGATAAAAAAAAAGAAGAGGAAACGGGAATTAAAGAAGTGAAGTTTTAGTGACTAAAGCTCACTTAAATACTAATCCTTTAAATTACCCAAAAATGACTGACTGTTGAACTGACCTTTGCTTTTGAGCTCTTCTTTTTGGAAGCGGGACTACTGCCTCCACCTCCCTTTTTAAAGCTGCCCATCTTCTGTTCTGACAGTATTCTCTGCTGTTCCTCCTCTGAGATACTCTGGGATTCACAGACAACATGTTTAAAATGCAAACCTAACAGAAAATGGTGCAAAAAATGCACCGAGAGCCAAGAGTCTGTTGTTATAAAAGTATACTTACTAATAAGTAACGATTCATCTCAACTTCATATTCTTTCTTTTTCTGTGTAGAGCAGAAAAAAAATGAAAGATGGACAAACTTTCATATGTATCCATGTTGGTTTGTTTATGTTACAAACAAAGGAAGGATACAAAAAAACAATGTGTAACAAACCTGCTCACAGCGCTTTTGGTAGGCATCTTTCTCGCTCTGTTTGAGGAGTTTCCAGCGCTGGCTGCACATGACCATACGCTCTGTACTGGGAACATCTTTCATACTGGACATCAGCTCAGCACAGAACATAGAGTAACCATTACTGAAAGAGAGACAAAATGAGAGATGATGAAAAACGTCACTTACCATATATAAACTCATAAAAAATTAAAAATAAAAAGAATTATTGATACTAAAAGTATTAAAAAAATTATTATTTTTTGAAATCACTAATAAAATAAGCTAACGTTGAAGTGCAACATTTAAAATTTGAAAACAAAACTTCTTATCAGGTAAACGTACGAAGGCGGTTTGTCTGGCCGCCCATCAAACTTGTCTTTGAGCTGTCTCTCTGCTTTGGTCAGAGTGGATTTGACAATGTTCTCCTCTGTCATGTTCATCTCTGGGTGCTGCTGGATAAACTCGCGCATCTTCTCCTAAACAAGGACGAGAAAGATCAAATGTTACAAAGAAGCCGCTACTGATAGCAAAAATATGCCATGTACAATGCAAACGTTTTTACCTCATACAGTTTCTTCTGCTCCAAAGACTTTGTGATCCACTTTATCCTCTTCTTGTCTGAGAGCTGTGGCCACTGCTTGCCAACACTGTCCTTGATGTCTTTGGTAGTCGCCTAGAGAGGTTAAAACAAAAGTGTTTTGCGGCATTCATGTATATGAAGAAGCCAGCATCATTATTTATTTATGAGTGCGAGTGTGTGTAGAGCGTACATCTGGGCGTGCTTTGAGAAAGGCCTTCTTCTCATGGAAGTACCACAGTTGCTGGGGCGTCTTGGGCTTCTCTGGAACATTGGACTTCTTGTTAACGTTCTCAAGAAGGTCGGGATGATCTTGCCTATTAAGAAACACAAACAAACGCTTTAAGAAAAGCCATGATTTAAAAATGTAAATGTGATGGTAAAGTGTCAATAAGTCACTTACCTGAACTTCATCATGCGGAGCATGAAACTCTCCTTTTCTCTGAGAAAGTCTTTCACATATTTCTCCTGTTGACAAAAGGTTCAGTCATAACAAACAGGTCAGTCAAAACAATGCCTGCTTTGTTGACCGATCTAGAAAGTTAGGTACCACTCAAAACAATAGGTGATCCAGACCAAATAGAAAATATTTGCTTCTTTTCAAAGGGAAAAAAGAGCAGCCACAGATCTGAAATCCACTATACACCAGATGAATCCTAAACCTTTAGCTAATATACCATTATAGTACCCACATCTCCAAAGACTTTGTGATCCACTTTATCCTCTTCTTGTCTGAGAGCTGTGGCCACTGCTTGCCAACACTGTCCTTGATGTCTTTGGTAGTCGCCTAGAGAGGTTAAAACAAAAGTGTTTTGCGGCATTCATGTATATGAAGAAGCCAGCATCATTATTTATTTATGAGTGCGAGTGTGTGTAGCGCGTACATCTGGGCGTGCTTTGAGAAAGGCCTTCTTCTCATGGAAGTACCACAGTTGCTGGGGCGTCTTGGGCTTCTCTGGAACATTGGACTTCTTGTTAACGTTCTCTAGAAGGTCGGGATGATCTTGCCTATTAAGAAGCACAAACAAACGCTTTAAGAAAAGCCATGATTTAAAAATGTAAATGTGATGGTAAAGTGTCAATAAGTCACTTACCTGAACTTCATCATGCGGAGCATGAAACTCTCCTTTTCTCTGAGAAAGTCTTTCACATATTTCTCCTGTTGACAAAAGGTTCAGTCATAACAAACAGGTCAGTCAAAACAATGCCTGCTTTGTTGACCGATCTAGAAAGTTAGGTACCACTCAAAACAATAGGTGATCCAGACCAAATAGAAAATATTTGCTTCTTTTCAAAGGGAAAAAAGAGCAGCCACAGATCTGAAATCCACTATACACCAGATGAATCCTAAACCTTTAGCTAATATACCATTATAGTACCCACATCATTTCCCATTTGCTTACATCCACATCAATTCTTCTTTTATAGTGGTTCTTAAAAAAAGGTTACAGACTACTCTAAGTGACGTTTCCTTTTAATTTTATTGCACTCACTTTTTTACGCTCTGGGAGCTCCTTGTATTTTTTGGACAGGATTTTTGTGAGATCTAGGTTGCTCATCTCTGGATGTAGTTTAGCGTACTTGGCACGCTTCTCCATAAAGAAACGGAAATACGGTGTCAATGGCTTTTTGGGGAAGTCTGGGTGCTTCTGCAGAGGGGACAAATACACAAAAAGTTAGTATTTGCTATCGTTGCAAGCAATAGGAAAACACTGTCATTTTAACCCAAGCTTTCAGCACAGAACCATAAGACTGTCTACCTTCAGCTTCTTTCCTTTGTATGGATTTTTGACGTAGTCCTGCGCATCCACGATCAGCTCAGTAAGGGTGCGGAATTTGCGAATCTGAGTGAGGAACAGGAATATTAATGTGATAACTGCATAATCATTGTCCTATGGCATTGAACATTGTCCTATCTACTGATCAACAGCTAACATATTTTTGATTTATGTTTCAGTTGAAACTCATTGATCACTGACTAGCGTACCTCACGTGAAACTTCATGCCATTTCTGTTTGCACATCTCCCCAGAGTAAGAGTTGAAAGCCACTTTCTCCCAGTCCAAATGGGACTCGGACGTCTTGTACTTGGCCAGATCTTTTTCCGGCAGGTTCCCCTTTATGGCATCCAACAGCTTCAACAGGTCATTCTGCTCCCAAGCTGGAAGAAAACATTATGGCAAAAATGATTTCTGAGATCCAATGCACACATCTTCACGCAGATTAAGAAAAAGGTAGATGTTTGTATTTCACACAAAGGTTAAATACAGGTTCACATGCAGTGGGGAGCAAGGTTTATGCCAAGAGCAATTTGTTTTACAAGGCGATTATTGCCAGGAGTATAAACCTAATTATTTATACTTTATTATTACTTTGCATGCAAGGTATACATTTTATCAGAAAATGCATCCCCTGGGAATCAAACCAATGATTTTGGCATTGCTCTACTGCTTGAACTATCAATTCAACAGATATTTAGAAACCAAAATGCTCTTTTAAAATGGTCCTATTAAAGCTATATCCATGACCATTTTTTAATGTATAATAATATTCATAAACAACAGAAAATCACAGATCTAAACGATGCATGTTTCTTACTGGGTTCTTTAGCAGAGGAGTCCATTTCTCCATTCATTGTCTGGAATCACTCTAAAAAAAAAAACTGGTTAATTATATGAAGGACTACAAAAGTTGAAAATCATACTTTCATGGCTTTAACCCTATACTAGTTTATTTCCAGTAGCTTTAAATTAAATATCAATTATTTTGCGTCAAATGACTCAAAAGTGTTTATATTGTGAAAAATCTTTTTTCCCCCTGACTTAAAAGTTTAATGAGTGCAGTGTAGGTGTTTTAATGTCTCGAACAGTAATTGCTGCCTGAAGAGTGGAATTAAAATCCAGCCCGACACATAATGGTTGATGTTCATTACACCGCCCCTAAGCGTTTACGCTCCATCGTGAGACAGAGCCCATTGCTTGTGACGGTTTCAAATCTCAAATAACTCTGCAGTCGACACCAGCAAGAGCAGCCAATCCGTCTAATCTTCCATTTTGTCCACTCAACTAAGACTTGCAGCGGCTTCTCCTGCTCTCTGCGCGCTTTTCGAGGCGAAATTGGAGCATATTTTCGGCGGACGAGAGGATACTGGGAGGTACTACAGGAGGAAGCAGCGTTTTGGGCGATAGGCAGGCGGCTGCCTGTAGACGGACCAGCTGACCACGGATCGGGATCTGTTTTCGGTCTGCGTCGAGAGCGAGGGGGAAACACAGCCAGGGATCATCATGAGTGACTGCTACAGCATGCAGCACCAGAGTCTGCCTCCAAACCGACGGGGCGCGGGGCTCCGCTTCCGCCACGGACGCGTTCTGGGTCGCCACCTTAGATGCATAGCGACTGTTTGAAAATGCTCGAGTATGGAGGGCTAGTCATAATCTGATGTCGTTTAGCGAACGAGTGCGCAGACTAAATTAGTCACAAAATGGCACGACTCTTTTCCAGGGCGAGGCGTCGCCGCTGAGATGAATGTGTAATGGCGGCGCGCGAGCCAGCAGAGTCCAGCTTTAAAATAGACCCTGGCTGAAGGGCATTTACCACCACCATGAAATGTTACTAAATAAAGTGGGTGGCATGATAATCAGAACCTGTTTGAGCATAATAGAGCGTTCCTACTATAGAAATGCTCAGGAAAACGATTTTGTGGATTTGAAGCGCATTTATGAACAAAAGCTTTGTAGCGGGGCTCTAATGTAGAGTGAAGAATTCAACTACGTCTAAGTTGAAGTGTTTAAGTATTTATAAGGGTACATTTAAAATGAGTTTAAACTTAAGACCGTTTTCCATATCAAAACCTCATTAAATTATATCATTGTTGCTGTTTGATGTTGAAAACTCCGCTTTATTGATTTAATTATAAACTCGACAACATTGTGTCCACGCGTGGAAGTGCTACAAATGATAGCCTCAGAGATATCTGAAAATGCGTTTTTAATGAGGGAAAAAATGTTACACTGTTAAACCGACCTATGACTTGACCTACACCGGAGCTAGCCGGCTATAACTAGCATTGAATCCCCCTAAAGCCCTGGTGAAAGCTGAACCGACAGTCGCCAAAAATAACCCTAAAACGCGGCTAAAATCAAGCCTTATTATGCGCTGCTAAAAGGAGCTTGTAACCGGCGTCTAAAATGTTCTCTTACCGTGAAGAAATCCGGTGGTTTACCCCGATTTCGAGTGATGAGGAATGCGGGGTGAGAGCACGGTTTGTGCAGCCGTATGGCAGCAGGGTCTTCAAAGGCTTGAAAAACAAAAATTAAAGAAATATACGATTAATTTCACCAAGTACGCGGTGGTTGAAGCACAATTATGAAAAGCGAGATCCACTCGTTTAGAAATGAATCAATCTGGTCTCTAAACGTGTCATTTAGTTCCAAGTCACAATGTAAAAACGCAACAGCCGAGAGAAAGGACGCTTCACTGGCGTGACGACTGTTCTCGAGCCGCCATACTACCCTCCATGCGCTGCTGCTGCGAGCCCAGTTCACCTCCTCCACCGAGAGAGAACGGCTCTAAACTCACCCGGTTCGCTCCTCAAACACAGATAACCCGGAAAACTGTCAAATGTGATCGCAAACTTTGCTTTCACGGCAGGCGCAAGCGAAACAAGCCCACACGGTGAGATAACCGAGCTCCCTGATGGCGAACCAGAGGCGGCTGCTTCTTCCCTCCACGAGCCTCATGGAGCCCTGACTCGGAAATGAAGGCGACCGCGAGGGCTCCACACACGACAAAGCGCGCTTAAAAACGAGGTTAGCGGCTCCTGGAGTTGTATTCGGAAACTAAACTGTGGTAGATAAACGCAGGATGTTTTTCCGCGAGTCACAGGACGGGAAATTTGGGTAAGGCGACCTCGGAATGTACCGTGCCTTGCACCAAGTCAACGCGATTTTAAACGAGGCGGCTTTACAAAAACGAAGCGCACGAACGTTCTAAAATCCGAATGTTTCGAATTTTTGCGTTGCATCTAAGGTTGTGTTTTTTTTCAAGGTTTGTTTACCCGACGCTGGGTAGGATGAGGCGCTGGTTAGCTCTTACCTGTCGCTGCTTGTGTGTGGAACTGGTGCTGGAACAAGGGGAGGGTTGAATGTTAGCCAGCACTGCGCCGCCGGTCCAGGGCACGGGCGCTCCAGTCCCCGCAGAGCTGAGAGACTTCCCCCCGCCTCCATCTCTCTCGCTCTCCTTCCAGTCAGCGCGCAGCTCTCTCGATCCGCTCATTTCTCTTTCCAAAGAGACATCCGCATTTTCAATCTCTCCGCTGCTATAGCCGCTCGCATCACGGATGGGTCGCCTGGGCTTCGCTTCCATTTGGATTATAAACTCGGAGCTGCCGAGGCGCCCTCAAACCTGCAAGCGCATGTAGCCTCTCGGGCTTGTTCTGAACACATTTGTTCACTCGTGATGACCATGTGAAGTTTTAATAAATAGTGAATTTGATTGAATATGTTCCAGAGTGATTTCTGTTTTTATTTATGCTTTTTTTTTTTTTTTTTTATAAAAAAAAGAAAAGAAAAGCAGTTTTCTTGAATTTAGTAAAACTCCCAACGTGCATGTGTGATGTTAGAAGTGAACTACTGTTGTGTACTTCAAACATCTTTTCGGTATTTTCAGTCTGACAACTTCATCTTTTTGTCACGTTAAATAATTAAACCCCACCTTGTCTGTTTGTGGGCGTCACCTGTGAGGTCCAATCAAGACGTTCTGATTTGGGGAAAACATGATTTTCCAATGAGCGCCCTGATTCGTTAAACATCAGAGCGGTCACGTGCGCATTTCATTGGGATGCCACAGTCCAGCACTGATCGAGCACGCCTGCCTCCGCTAACAACACAGGCCAGCGATTCCCAACTCTCTGTCTGTTATTGCAGTGTTTCCCAACCTTTCTTTAGTCGCGGCACCCTTTGGAAATTTTAACAAACTTGTGGCACCCTACAAAATTAACTTTATCACAATATTTGAATTTCTAACTTCGATATGATCATTTGAAAAGTATAGATATTCGGTACAGCAGGGAAGAACTGCAGAATATAATGTCATACAGATATTTTTAATATTATTAAAACATTTTGTCCATCAATGGTGGCAATCAGCAGGCTAATTTCTAATGAAGAGACCAATTTATGACAGATTTTAATGTAGGCTTTTATACATAAGTAAACATTATTTAATTACCATTATAACTAGCTATCTCACAATGTTTGCTCACTCAGTGTTTTTTTTTAATTTTACAGTGGGGTAATTTTGGTGCAGTAGCAACCTTTGAATTGAATAAAAAATGACATGTAAGTAGTCAGTAATAAAATAAGAACAAATAAAGAAATTAATAATGATAGCACAAATAAAAAATGACGACAGGCCTTCAAATTAAATAAATTGTTTTTTAGTTTTTCAGGTAGGTCTAACAGTAGGGCTAAGATATTTAACTTTTTTTTACCAATTATCCAAATAATGTTTAATCCTAGAAAGCTATTATTATCAGAACACATGAGCATAACGGTTAGCAGATCAATGAATGAGAGGGCAGCGTTACCAGAGTTGCCCGTTTACCACACCATGTTACAGCACAGTAGGGCTATTGCATACAGAAACAATACTGTACTACATCGATGTTTCCTGTCAGCTCGATTTTTGAGTGGACTTTGCTGTTCCGATGAGCATGAACGGTATATGAGTGGAGCACTCACATGGGCCGTGAGCGACTGAGCGGAGCACACACATAGAGCGGGATAATACACAGAGCGTCACACCACTGAGCGGTGATCTAATTTTCGGCAGCCGGAATTTCAGTCCATCTCTAATTATTGGCGACATCAGAAATGGATATTATATAATATATGCTTTTTTGAAAATTTTAGCAATTTAAAAATATTAAAAAATGATTTTTTACACGGCACCCCTGCTCTCAACAGACGGCACCCCGGTTGGGAAACACTGTGTTATAGCACTACAGCCCTAGCGGTACACCTGCACTGACACCAAACCAAAAAAATCAACTCACTAAGTATTTGAAATCATTTAGCACTGTCAATACAATCTATTCAACTAAACAGTACGTATATACTGTGGCAGGATTTTCCTCCAGTAAAACACACGATCTTGTTTTTTTTACAAGTTTTGATTCTAAGGAAATTTATTTATACACGAAGTCCTGATGGGATGTATAAAATCCATCCACACGTCATGTGACTCACAAATGTACATAACTATACCTTTAAAAAAAAGAAAAGAAATTAATACTTTTATTCAGCTTTTTTATAGCTGAATAAATGCATTAAAATGCATTAAACTGACCATAAGTTACAGTTAAAAGTTCTATTTCAAAATAATTTAAAAATGTTTAGAATTCTATTTCAAATATGTTCTTTTAAACATTCTATGCATCAAATAATCCTGAAAAAAAGTATAATGGTTTTCACAAAATTATTAAAGGGGTGGTTGATTGCGATTTCACTTTTTTAACGTTAGTTAGTGTGTAATGTTGCTGTCCGAGCATAAACAATATCTGCAAAGTTACGAAGCTGAAAGTTCAATGCAAACGGAGATATTGTCTTTTAAAATTCTGGCGGTTTAATGCCTACAAAAACGGCTGGTAGGGACTACAACAAGTTACTTCCCGGGTTCGTGACATCACAAACCCCGATAAACCCCGCCCCCAGGAACACGCAATGAAGGGGGCGGGGCCATGCAGCGCTGCTTTAGAGAAGACGACGAAAAATAGGGGTGCAAGTAAAAATCTATTCATATATGAATCGCGATTCTGTCTTCTAACGAATCTAATGGATTCACAAGTTTCAAAATCAATGTTCTAAAGCAGCGGTTCTTAAAGGATCATGAAACCCCCACATTATATAAGCCTTTTGACGGGTTGTGTCACAGAGCTGTAAAAACGGTTATGCTCACCAAGTGAATTAATCGCGTTTGTGCCGAACTCTTATTACAAAGCAAAAACAAACACTCTTCTTCGATCCATGAACGTTTCTCTCAGTTATTGTGCACGATGTCCTCTCACAGAAACATCTGTCATAGCAAATCAACACATGCTGTTGTGAATAATTAAGCGAAGCGTCTTCTCATAGGATAAGAACCCTCAGTCTCATGAATAATTTAATAGACACCGACGCATCATCTATGTACTATTAGTCCATTGCCACGTCACAAATTGTGACGTCAACACAATGTAGATTTTAAACCTGGAATATGAAAATAGCGCAAAAAAACTTAAAATTAACCAGTTTTCTCCAACAGTTAAAATTATCGGATGCTAACATTGTCTTCTATGATGTGCAACACAAACACCTCTGCTAAAATCTCAGAAAAAGTAGTCTGGGGTTTCATGACCCTTTAATACTGTTCTTTGCGTCCCCCTGCTCTGCACATGCTCTGCATCTCTCTCTCTCTCTCTCTCTCATTCAGCTCAGCTCCAACAATGAACTGTTCCATTTATACACTTATTTTCACATAGCTATGAGAAGAGTTTTACATGGACACACGTGCAGTTGCCGTACTGTATTAAAGCTTTAATCAGGATAAAACCGTATATTAAAAGCTAACATAAGCAGTAACATTTACAAATAACAGCGTATCTAAAAGTATGAGACAACAACAAACATAAAACATAGGCCTACCATTAAAAGCCGTGCTTGCACAGGTTCTGCACGATCCTCTTCAATAATATCCTCTGCTTCTCAATCGAGCTCAAACTGATAAGCGATATTAAGGACACCGTTGTTTACAATACAACAGGTGCTCATGCCGCTGAGGTGTGGGGCGGGACGTTTAGACTCGCACTAGAGGCGGTGTAGCCAATCACAACACACTGGGCTAGCTAACCATTCAGAGCCCATCGCCTATTTCTGAGGGCAGGGCTTCATAAAAGCAGGAAAAGATCAGCCCGTTTCTCAGAGAAGGGACAGAGCGGTGTGGAATAGAGTGGGGGAACTATGACGGTTCAGCTGTTAGCATGACACTGGTTCCCTTGACAAAAAGCCTATAGGATTTTTCCAAAGGCTTTTGGATTATCGCAAAAAATAAGCTCTGTGTTCAACCACAGTTCATGAAATGTACACATTTTGTCCATCAAGATAATCTTCACAAAATAATATTACTAATATAATTAATAGTAAATAGTATAGTGAATAAATTAAATAATCATAACTAAAGGACATATGAAAGCATGTAGGCTATTTCTGTACATTTCGAAATAAGGTGCATTAAAAGTCAATAAATCCTTGATTAATATGAATATTTTCATTAAAAACGTGTCTCCACATACTATTCAATAAAATTCTAGTGCATTTAATCTATTAAATAACAGCAGAGTGAGCGAGTTTTTTGATACGGTAAGTTTAAACCTATTTTAGTGAATGAAGTACCACATTTCAGCTTTGTTAGGGTGGGTACACAAAATGTTATTTTATCCTTGCTCCTAGAAATTCCTCATATGCTTTTCTAACAGCTTCATGTGGCCGTAAACATTTAATTTTAACGTGGCTTTAAGCAATATGCATCGTTAAAGTTTCACTTTCACCGCGACTAAGCCGGTAAATGTGGTGTTTACATGGAATAATCATATGAGTTTACCTTATGGTGCGAACCCAGAGTCTGCATCAGCGGGAAAGCGATCCGAAAACTTGTGTGTTGCATTAAGGGGCAAAACAAAAAAACATTGTTGAACAACAATATAAAATGCGGGAAACTATTAATTGGTTATTCTACAATTAATTGTATTACAAATTATACTAGGACTGGAAAATACTGTAAATTGATAAACTGTTCGGCGTGATGACCTTAACTTATATGTCTCTGACAGCGCCTGTAGTCCAATTTAGCAAATTGTTAGCAACCATCTTTTTAAAGAAGTGTAACCGTTTTAAAAAAATCACGGTGTAACTGGTGTGTTTTATGTCGTAGAATTTAACGTTAAAGTATCTTGAGTTTGTGTGAACCACGGACCTTATTTTACGGATTTAACCAAAATCCCATAAAAAAAAACCATTG